GAATAACACCTTTCTCCTCTTGCTACACTCAATTTTCTACTATTAGTACAATTAAACTGATGTTGTCTGACCGTCGGGTACCGGTGGCGGTATGGGCGCCACAGCCAGCAGAAAATCGTCGGGTCGGGCCCGACGCCGGTGTGGGTCTAGCCTAGGAATTGCTGTCAGTACCTAGATTATAAACTGAAGTATGAGTTGTCAGTGTTGAGAGAGCCCTGCTGTTATGCAGTGATTCTAAATTTTGTCTGAAAGCTTCATATTAGTCTTGCCAGTACTTGGTGCAAAATGTGACATGAAAGAGGACTGAGAAGATTGTGTGTGGAATGAAATTGTTGTGTTGATAATACATTTTAGCGAAAAATAACCTTCAGTGTTTCTTCCATTTCCTAGGACAACAAAAAGTGGGATCTCACAATGGATGGCCAAATCATGTCATGGGCCACACAGCAACCAGAGGACTGGCAGAGTGGAGGAAGGTACTGTAGTCACTGCAACTATTCTTAAAGCGTATGTATACACAAGATTGGTGTCTGTTGATGCATAGGTTATGCCACTTCTTTTGCATTCTGAAGCAGTAATAGCTATATTCTTTATTTGAATGTGTACTCTGGATCATATGTGTACATACCTTTGTATTCATAAAAGAGATGATTTTACAGTGCTAGTTTATAGTACTGTTTCACTTCCAACTGAAAATTACATTACATACAGTCATGCATTTGAGTGATATTTTGACTGTAATTTACCCTTTCAGTTCCCCGGAAGACGTACAACATCACAATGTGTTTAAAGCTCTTACATTGGCATTTACATTTTTCCCAGAGTTTCATACAAGGCATTTTCTTCTCTGGAACAGCATTTGTAAAGATGTTTAGTTTGTAGAACAGGAAACTGTCTTTCTCTGACCAATTTTAAAACACAATGAATCATCGTGGAGCTTAAGTTACTTTTGTCAAGTACAGTTGTCCCTACAACAGCTACTGTTTCGTAAGTGTTTGTAAAAGATTGACTTCTAAGAAATTTCTTTTATATTTATGTATTTCTGACTTTACACTAACACTGCTTACCTTTACTCGCCAGGTGCGAATCATTTATGTGGGGCAGTGGCCGTCATGGTCAGATCTGTGAAGGTGGCCGAGTAGCTTTGCTGCCTGTCAAAGTGTCATCCCTATCCAATGCTCAACAGGTTTGTTGTTTTATTTCATAAATAATTTCTCGAGGACTTTGTGCAAATGTGGTAGTGTGCATTTGATGTACATATTTGTCTATAACTTCTGTTTTGATTTGATAATTATGGCATGGTGTTCAGTTCTGTCCAAAAAAGTTACTGTGTTATATTAAGTCAAAGATTTTTGGTGGAGGAGGGCTTTGTTGTCAGCCTACCTTTGTATGTTTTTTGCCAAAAATTTTACACAACAATAATACATGAATGTAAATGTAATTGAAATATTTTTACTACTTTGGAGAGACACATGAATGACGTAATATTTTTTACACTTACGATCTTAAGATCTAATCATGGTGAAGAGGATGACACTTGCATTTGACTGTCTGTATTCAATTACAACAAAGGCTGTATGTCTTTATAAGTCATCAGAGAAAAAATGCATGTTTCCACTGCTCTTATAGAGTTAATAAACCATAGTGGTTACTTTCACTATCACAGATCATATGTGGTCAGAACTGCACATTCATTGTCATGCCCAATGGGACTCTCATGTCCTGTGGAGAAGGCAGCTATGGGCGATTGGGACAGGGCAACTCTGATGACATCCACACTCCCACTGCTATATCAGGCCTGCAAGGTAAACAAATTCATGTCCATGTTTTTCAATAGACGTAGATAGCAGAAAGCGACTGGTTTCCATTTACAATTTGTTATGAGAGTTCTTTAGTATTGCATGATAACTTGATAATAAAAATTTCTGTCTACCCCCTTCCCCCCCTATCACCACCACCATCCCTCCCAACTATTGTTTCAGAAATTCATGTATATAATCTTGTTAAATTATCATCATTCACCAAAGAACATCTTGAGGGACTACAGGCAATGTTTGCATATAAGTAGAGTGTAAATTTATTTTTTTAATTTTTTGTGCATTTTTAAAAACGTCTGCTGTACTTATATGTTGTTCCAATATGAGCGAAAACTGCAACTGCTTTCTTAGTTCTCTTTCTTATCTCAGTCTGCTTCTTCACATGCAAAGTTGTAATTATGCTTACAGGGGCCACAGAACTCATATACAGACTCTGGGTAAATTTGTTGCAGGGTTTGTGGTGATCCAAGTGTCGACGTCCGCCGGCTCTGACGGCCACAGCCTAGCTCTGACTGAGAGCGGAGAGGTGTTCAGCTGGGGAGATGGGGATTATGGCAAGCTGGGTCACAACAACAGCGAGCGACACAAGCGGCCTAAACAAATTGAGGCCCTGGTGGGGGAGGAAGTCACACAGGTAGAACATATTTTTTTAACTGCCTTGTGTATTGTTGTCCCACAGAGCCTCTGGAATTCTTTTTTTCTGTCTACTTCCTGGAGTCATTTTGAAGAGATGGGATGAGCATGTGGTGTGTTTCATAGAGTTGGGGCAAGTGGACGGACAGGTTTGTTACTCATATACTCAGTCAGAGCAAGCGAGTAACGGACGGCCATACGAGCGGACTGCGATCCTCTAGTCGGTTCGTTTCTTGGGTCCGCTCCACAATTTTATTCACTAAGTAGTACTATGTGTCTTACCTTTCACCTCGTGTGTGGGTCACACTGTGTATGTTCTAATTTATCGCAAAGGGGAAATTGAAAGAATTCCCCAAGTGTGGAGAAATTTCCACCATGAACACTTAGCTACAATGTGGGGCAGGAGGGTGATTTTTTAATTAATTTTTTTTTTGGGGGGGGGGGAGGTGTAAGTAGTATGCAATGGAAGGAGTTGCTCCCCGTCCATCTATCCATGAATGAATAGAGTCTCTCTGTCAGCCCGTCCGCTTGCTTGCTAAACGAACTGTCTCTAGGTCCTATGTGTAGCGAGTAGCGAACTCTCTTCACAAACGAACAGCTCGTTACCCGTCCTCGTTTGCGAGTAGTGCCAGTTAACCGTTGGTTACTCGCAGACGCTGATTTAGCTAGCCCGACCCAACTCTTGTGTTTCATTATGTCACTGGCACTGGGCTTTCTCACTTCTCCAGTATAGTGCAGAGTGTGCTGATCTACTCTTACTACTCTTAGATCTGTTTTGTATGATGGTTTTAAATAAACTATGTTGAAAAGAAAGCACAATGTTACACCCTGCAGTTCAAATTGCAGTTACTGAAAGAGGTAGATGAGAAAAACTTTCTAGAATGAAATTTGCTGCAAGCATGGCATTCCCAGCTCTATGCTGTCTCTCTAAACTGAAAACACAGTGAAATGGAAGAAAATCTGGCAGTCCCGCAGATTTTTATTTAAAGTGGAATCCTTTGTACATCATTTTCAATGAACCAATGAATGTGATTAAACTATAGACCAAAAAATGGTGCAGTGAAAAGTTTTTTTAAATGCCAATGATCAAAATAGAAGAAACAGTTGTTCTTCAATCATGTTCTGTCATCTGCTGTCGTCTCTTAAAAGCATAGAACATAACTGGATTTCAGGTATCTTGTGGATTCAAGCACAGCGCTGTAGTCACATCTGATGGGAAGCTGTTTACATTTGGCAATGGTGACTATGGAAGACTGGGACATGGCTCCACAGCCAACAAAAAGGTTCCAGAGAGAGTCATGGCTTTGGAGTCCTTCCAAGTTGGGATGGTAAGTTTCTTTTCCTCCCTCTGTGTTCCCCAAGGATGGTAAGTTGTTTGTTTTCCTCCTTCAGTGTGTTTGTTTTCCTCCTTCAGTGTGTTTGTTTTCTTCTGTGTCCCCTATGGATGGTAAGTTTTTATACATGCCATCTATGCAATATATATTACACTGTACATTTTTATGATAACGTAAGAGCCTTGTGTTGAGTCCAGGATTCTTTTCCAGTGAACCCATGGAACCCTTAGGCTCCTCTCAGTATTATTCTGTGTACTTTTCAGTATCATTTCATTGTGCTTTGTCTGTTAGCCCAAATTAGTTTTTATTGAATGTACTGATGTATTGCTGTTGATCAGATACAAAAACCATAAATGTAACAGAATTGAAAGTTTTAGGTTTGTATTGCATGACGGCAATGATAGTACATAACAAGATGGGCCACTTCTCTCTTTGAGCCAAATAAAAAAGTGTCCTCAAAATTTGGTGGCGCCCTCTTCACAAAAGCGCACTCTTTGCGAACAGAGTTACCCTACTTGAGTTTTTAAAAATCAAAGTGAAACTAGCATGTTTTGGGATAAATTTCGGAAGAACGCTTTTTTAAAATGGTTACGCTGACAAAAAACCTTTTCCGGAGGAAAGGGTAATGGTTTTCTTCGTATAATTTGACTTTAGAATGAAAGGCGAGAGGTCATTAAAATAAAAAAACAACCTAAAACTACGCACTGAACGTACCCGAACTGCTGATGAACAGCAGTCGATCTGCGCACGCAAGGAGGTGCTATTCCTATTCTTCTTCTGGAAAAACGAAAGAGAGCTTCAAAACAGACTGCAGCGCCATCTGAAGCAAAGAGCATACTTCCTGCGGACACTTTTTTGGCTGAGTGAACCATCTTGTAAAGTACTATCATTGATGACGGATAATTCTTTGAGTAGCTAAATATAGTTGAGATTATTAAAAGATATTGTACTTTAACGTTTCCAAAACCCCATGGGGCGATTCTACTGACTGAAGTGTCTTTAGGCCGTTCCCAAAGGGGAAACTTTAACCGTTCTTATGCACAGTAGAACTGTAAATGAGCTGATTCATCAATGTCATGCTCGTAACTGTGCCTGAACTGCAACAGGAAACTGCTGCTTTTTCTTTCCTAATCCTTACTATTGTCATTTTTTCCCCTACTTCTTTTGTATGTTTGTCACTCTCTTGTGACCCGCTATTTCCAGGGTGCCTTGATATTCAAAGCAGACTTTGTGCTAGTGAAGCTAGAGAGGTGAACAGAGAAAGCCTGATTCCCTGTAAGGACTCCTCTGTTGACATCCACCCCTTGGCGCTCGTATGATCTTATGCAGTTGCGAGCGCCATAAAACCTCTACTAAAACTAAAACTGACGTTTCCAATGATCTTGTCTGTTTATCAATGTCACTCTTCTGTTCCTGCCATATTTTATTTCAGGAAGTGGTAACGTTAAATAAACCAAACCATTCTTAGGAAATGTTGCCTTGAATTTTTATGAATTATGTCGTTTGGCTGATGTTAAGCAATGTAAACTCATTAAAAGATTATTGAATTGGTTTACCAGGTGTCTCTGGTATCGGAATGCTAGTGATGTGATTATTTTGTTTCGTTATCTATCCTTTACATCCCACTCACAGTACGGTACCGGTTTGATGTATTCATAGGTGGCTTGTGGCTTGAACCATACCCTGTGTATGTCAGCTGATGGCGGTATTGTCTGGGCCTTTGGGGATGGTGACTACGGGAAGCTGGGACTAGGCAACAGCTCTCCCAAGTCTGTGCCCACGAAGGTATTTGATTAGATGGGCTGCTGGCTACCTTCTTCTGTGTTGTGTTGTTTCCATTTCTTAAATTAAAAAGAACAGTTGCAATAATACACTCTACAGCATAATGCAGAAGTTGAAGAATTAACCTGCTTTATATTCTCCTCTCACAAGACGTGCAAAGAGTTTTTATACCAATGTGTCTTGCCTGTTTAGCTGGTGGGCATATATATTCCTTGCACTATCATGATGGACATATTGGTGTCAAAAAAGACTTCTTGTTTTTCTCAGTAGGATTCAGTCTGAATGTATTAATTGTTTTACCAAATGTCTTTTTATTACAGATTGATTTGCTGAAAGATTTCATCATAAAAAAGATAGCCTGTGGGACACAGTTTTCTGTTGCCCTGACATCTGATGGCCGTGTTTATACGTGGGGCCAAGGTGAGTAAGTTTTGACAGCCCTACACAGCGCAGTGTGCAAAGTATAACAATTGTTGGGGGCTGTCATGATCGAGGGGCACAGTGTTCCCTTCTCATTCGCCTCTCCAAAAGGTCCTAGGTTTAAAACATGACAGTGATTAAAAAGTTTTCCTCTCTAAAATGTTTGCATTCCTCCAGATAATTATTTCGTGTGAAATGAATAACTATTTTTCTTCTTCATAATCATAAGGATTTAAAATCTCTATGCAGTTTAATGTGCAGTTGCGGGACAGAATTTATTTTATTTAATTTGTTTTATGGTTTTCTTTTACTTTTATTTTAGTGCTTCAATAGAACTTAATGCAATACTTATTGCCATTTTTTAATTACTTCCTATACTTTTATCAGAACCATGGATAAGCTTAGTGATCTGATATCAGGTGTGAGATATGGTTGTGTTTAAATTCAAATTATGTGTGTCCGTTATGATTTCATTGCAAATCCTGATATTGATACTATTGGCTTTGCACAGGTTTACAGTTTTGTTGACCTATGTTGAATTCTTTTATTGTGTGTAAGGTGTTTAGAGTTTTGAGGCTCTAATAGTGTACATGAATTCAAAGATATTCCATCTGAAATATTCTTAATTGTGTTGAAAGGGGAGAGACATATGGTTCAATACTTTAACTGAAAACTTCCGTTCCACAGACCGCATGATTGGTCAAGGTGAGACTCTAGCAGTAAGTCACTGGCGGCCCGAACAGGTGATGCCTCTGGCGGGGCATTTCATCGAGGACATTGCGGCCGGGGCAGAACACTGCTTGGCTTTGGCCGTGACCGGCGAGGTTTGGGGCTGGGGCATCAACACAGATGGCCAGCTGGGCTTGGGACACACAAACTCACCCATCAAGGATCCAACTCTCATTCCAAATCTCACCAAAATGAATATCAAACAGGTGAGGGATGAACTTCAGATATTTTCTGATGAAGTTTTGTTCTATCATCTTCACAATTCAGTAGCCTTTGAAGTTTTCATTTTGATCTTTTTCTGTATTTGTTTTTTTGTTCTTAGTTTTCACTTAAGAGTGGTCTTCAGAGATGTTTGGTCAGTATGTTCTGTGCTCTTAAAGTTCTGGAGAAAATTTATGAGCTCGTTTACTGGACGGAAGGGAACGAATAAAGTACTGGATCACATTTGATAATTTGAGTCTTACAGATTAATGGACTTTTCTAACTCTTCAAACATATCTCTGTCATTCTAAACCTCTTGTAATTTCAGAAGCTGGCAACAGGTGCTTGCTGTTGACATACAGGCGTGTGTAGGAAAAAATGGGTTACTAAAGACTTTTTAATTTATCTATTTGGCTAAGCATACAAAAATGCCATAAAGTTTCAGAACTGGTCTGTAGGATCATACTAGCAATGATATTTCTGCTCACAACAGATATCGGCGGGAAGGAGTCATTGTGCTGCCTGGTCTTTCCCGCTCCCTCCCAAGAGAATGCCTGGGGTGCCGGCCCCACTGCAGCTGGGTGTGCCCGAGTGTATTCCCCCTCAGTACACAAGCCTGCATACAATGCCACTGGATGCTGTTCGTGGCCGTTTGATTCTTTTACACCATTTCAGTGACCTGGTCTACTCTTCCTGGAGGCTGCTTCATCTGGTACCCAAATGTGTGAGTTTAATCAGTTGAAGATTTTGCTGTTTCAGCCATAATCAAATGTTAATTTCTTTGAAAAATAGTATTGGCTGTCCCAAAACAATATCAAAGTTACAAGTGTTGTATGAATAATGGTAGGTACAGTCTTAAGACAATTTAAAAGTAAGGCTACTTTTCAAGAATAATAAAAAATCTGAGAAATGTTTATTGAATTTTATTAATACCACCTGTCTTTATAGATGAATGCACTTGGTTACCAAACACTGATAATTCATCTCTCAGTGGCTGACAATGACCAATGCATCTGAAGAGAATATTTCGTGAATGAAATAGAGAAGAAATAAGGATTAACTCATTTAACTCGAACAGCCTCTCCCAGTGGCTGAAGTGTCTTCCCGAAATGACGAGTGACCACTCTCAGCAGCCGGGGAAATGCACACAGATATAAGGAGTTTCTCATCTAAACAGCTATGAATGTGAATGATAAAACTTTGTGAATGATAATACTTTGAAAGGAGCTTCTCTGAATGAAGCTACACTCCTTTGTCTTTTTGTTTGTGTTCATTCTTTCTTTTGAGCCGAGGCACATGTGAAAATAGACAAATCGAGTTTAAAAAAAGAAAAGAAAAGAAATTCCGACAAACAGAGGAGATCAATTCTGGGTCAATGAGTTAAGATAATTTGTGGTTTCTGCTATGGACAATGAGACAAATTCTGGCAGAGTGTCACATTTTTAGCATTTTAAAGCTTCTTTTCCACTTGTGGATGTGTGCAGCATAGGGACTTCTCTCTTTGCTTCAGCATTTCTAATTTTTGAAGCCTCATATAATTTGCTGCTTTTTGACTAGGGCAAAGATTTATTTGAAGTGAATTAGCGCAGCGCAAACATCAGACTCTCTTGCCAAGATACAATGTATCTGATGGTAAGATGAAGACAAGACGATCAGATAAGTCTCTAGCACAGGAGTTTGTCAGAGTGTCATCCTTGTTGAAGGGTAGACTACCAAGTGATACCACCAGAGCCATGCACTCCCAGCTAACTTGGGTTTGAGGGCCCAGGCCAAGAAAAACAACTCAATGGTTGCCCCATGTCGATGCATCCAGACCAGTAAGACAGTCTATTGCCAGCCACCCTTCTTGCTTATCAACGGCCTGTTGGGACTGATTTTGAAGTTGAGGCTGGGAAGAATGTTTAGATCTTCAGCATGGACCGGGAACACAAGACAACAAGATAAAGAAAAATTAAATCGATTAATTCGGGAAGCATGTAAAATGTCAATATCTGCATTCCCCTGCTTGGATGAATTGTACATAACAACTTGCACTAAAAAAATTAATTCTATCTTTTTAGACCACAAACATCCCTTGTTCCTTCAAATAAAAACATCAGTCAGAAGTAAAAGACCTAGGCTTCTGATCTGTAACAAAGAAAGATACAGAAGGTCATTTTTAACATCATCCATCTAAATTCTTCCATCTTAACCATCTTGTATAAGTATTCTTATGACCTTAGAGCATGCATCAGAATTACATTGAGTATGTATCTAGCTTAAGATTATTATTGTTTATGTTGCTCCTCATTTATATTATGCATGTGATTGTTAGCCTGTGCGTGTATGTGTGTGTGTGTGTGTACACATGGTGAAACACCAAACCAATGTGCCAGGATATGGACAATAAAGATGTATTTTATCTTATCTTATCTTATTGTATATGACATAGATCATATTGGACACAGCTATCATGGACAACAGTGAGAGCCACTAGAGTTGTTCACTGAAATACTCTATCAAGTGGGCGTTTGAGTTCAATGAGCCTCATCCATCCTGGCCTCTAATACCAATGCGATATAACCCCCTGATGTGATGCTAGAACATCAGCCCTTGCAACAGGTTGTGCTGAGTTACATGTTGCTAGTAACAGGGATCTCCCTGACCTGACAATAAATGCTACTTACTGACAGTTGCTGTTTGTAAATTCTAATTCCTGCGGTTGAGGTTTTCCTGTGTTATTGTTATTCTGTGGGCAGCACTGGTAAAAGAGTTGAACATTTTTTTTCTCGAACGTAGTTGCAATTTTTAAAAAATGCAATTGCTTTTTGATGAAGAAGGGGCAGAATGATGTTACTCGTAGAAAAATATTTTTTCAAAACTATTTTAACAACTTGGCTTGGTGGAATAGAAAGTCTGGCTGTCAAAGCATTGTTCTGATCCACAAACTTGTTTCTGTTAGGATTCTGGTTCCAACGAGTCTGAGGTTCCAGGAATTTGTGATGGCCCACTGCGCCCGCTTCTGTCTCCCCGAGTCTACACCCTGCCCATGGTACGGGCCATCAGCAAGACCATGATACAGAGCAAGAACTGTGGGCCCCAGATTACTGTCAAACGCCTCTCTACCAGGTATCGTACATGTTTTGTAAAGTTTGAGAATTTCAATTTTCAGATTTCTTTTATGGGGCCTATCAATATTATTCATTCTAACATTATATTTTTGTGTTTCAAGCTTTACATATCTGGAAAATGCAATTGATTCGAGCTAATCCAATGGTAAGCTTATAATGTACAGTTATTTTGCTTAACAGAAGTTACAGATTTGTTGTTGTTTTTTTGTTGTTGTTTTTTTTTGGGGGGGGGGGGGAGAGGTTCAAGTGCATGTAACAGAACCAGTCAATACTGTTAACAGGTGTGCCCAAATATAGAGAATAACATCAAAATTCGTATTTACCTTGTGTGATGGCCAGAAGATTCTCCATTACAATGTGTGCAGGTGTGTCTCTAGTACTATGTGTGTTTGTGTGTTTCTAGTATGTTCTTGAGTCTCTAGTATGTTATTATGTCTCTAATATGTTCTTGTGTCTCTAGTAAGTTATTTTGTCTCAAGTGTTTTATAATGTCTCTTGTATCTTGTTTTGTCTCTTATTATGTCTTTAGTATGTTCTTTTGTCTTTAGTATGTTCTTGTGTCTCCAGTGCCATGTGTGTTCTGGTGTCTCCACAGAGGCAAGAAATGCCGTCCAGTGTACAACCAGATTGCACAACAAGTGGTGGCTCTGAAGCCTGAAGACCTTAGGCTGCCAGCACGTGCCTGGAAGGTCAAGCTCATTGGGGAAGGGGCTGATGATGCAGGAGGAGTGTTTGATGACACCATCACAGAAATGTGCCAGGTGAGTTTCATTGGCCTGTATGTCCTGTATTAAAGATGGCTGTGGAAAGCCACTGGCTGTGAGTTAGAATCTGGAAGCATTAAGACAAAACTCATCACAAAGATTCAAGGGGGGGGGGGGGAAAGGATAGTTAATAGTTTAATTGATGATGGATTAATGGCAGAGTTTAAATGCTCATTACTTGATTCTGTTCTGTATAATATTAGCCATGAAAAAGCAAGCTCTTGGCTATAATGTTGACCACCAGGGCTAGAGTTTCCATTGGAGCGTTCTTGAATTTGGTGAGCTTTCAAGGCTCTTCTCTTATTTGTCTTGGTGTAATGAAAATGGACCTTGAACTCCGAGGCCCTCTTATATAACCTCTTGGTGTGGACAGGGACATTTAACTCCTAGAACGACATGCAGACTATTTAAGAATATCTTCTCAAAGTCAGTCAATTAATCTTTTAATTATATCTCAACTGAGAAAAACTATCATTTATGTTTCTTGTAGATGAGAAGCTATCATGGCATTGACTTCTTTTTGTAGGAACTTGAGTCTGGAGTTGTTCCTCTTCTTATACCAACTCCAAATGCAAAGAATGAGTCTGGAAACAACAGAGACAGGTGAGTTCTTGTATCCTTAGTGTATGCAAATTTGGCAGAATGTGGTCAGAAACTTGATCTCCAGAGCACAACAATAGTCTTATCTCTGAAGAAGGTCACTCATTCCATCCTTTCCTTGACCCTTTCCTGTTCAGCGCCACCAAAGCCAATCGAAACCAGCGTGGCATGCACAGTTGTCTATGATGTTATGCTGATTTGTTTTCAGTTTTAGTGAGGAAAATGTGTCAGAGCAGGCGCCGATAGTCAGAATATACTTTTGCTTCCACTAAAGACAAAAAAAGATGTTATAACAGTGGAAGGCTGCTAGGTGTCGAGAAAGTTGAATAAATGGGCGAATATTTCAGGTGAAAAATGTAAACAGGAAAGGGTTTTATGCTGTCCCATTTTCCTTCCCCCCTCCCCCCCCATATAAGCAAAAGTGCTAGAAATTTAAGAAGTGAGAGCTACTTGACCTTTTTTGTCCCTTCCTACAAACTTGTCATCCATTAGACATTTTGAATTGAATAAGGACTATATTATTATTTGCTGAGGAAAAGATATTCAAATAAGTCCTTGCAACAAAGAGATAGTGTTATGAGTATGCAGAAAGTACAAAAGAGAACCAGCATTAAAATGTAGTATAGTAGCTGGGATGAGGGGGGACACAATGCTTTGTAGTATTTAAGGAGAGTTTTGTAATAATATCCAGGGTGTTGTGTTTTAAAGAAAAAAACAATAGATTTTGTCCCCGACCTTAGAAAATTAGTTTTTATAATTTCTTAATTGCCAGGTACCTTCTGAATCCATCATTGTCTGCCGAAGATCATCCTGCCCTCTTCAAGTTTCTGGGTATTCTGTTTGGTGTGGCTGTACGCACCAAGAAGCCCTTAGATCTCCATCTAGCTCCATGTATTTGGAAACTCATTGCCGGTATGCCTCTCAAGGTGGACGATCTGGAAGAGGTTGGTTTTGATTTTTTAAGTTTTGATGTCCATTTCAAGCCAATAAAAGCTATCAACAGGCCTTGCTAATGACCTTGTGTTGGTCCAACCAACATAAAACCTCTCATGGCTCTCCGGCTATCTCTATTCATTTACCATTTGCCTTTATCAGAGCAGTTTTTGAACAAGAGGAGGGTTGCCATCCCATCTGCTACATGCTCAAACCTTATATCAGTCTGTTTGTAGGATATGTTTGTGTACATTACAGCACATGTTTTTCAATACTTATATTTGTGTATTTGTGGCGTTGTGGATAAATTGGTTACAAAATAATCTATTAATAAAGTAGTAGGAGAAAAGATTTCTCAAGATTTACAGGTTTTTCATTTTTTACTTATCCCCAGGTTGACCATTTGTACATCCAGAGTCTAAGAGGAATAATAGATATTCATGAGAGTGGCATAAATGAAACAAACTTTCATGAGGTCAGTGGTTCTTTTCTTTCAAATGTTCCTTTGTTTAATCTGTTGATTGTATTTTCTTTGTATTAATTTGATTAGAATACAAAGACTAAGCAATGAGAAACTATCTGTGTTTGAACTATCAACTACTTAGCACTCAGGGATTTTTTAGCTTTGTTAGAATGCAGTACTCTTTTTTGTCATGTTTCTAAAGATATTTTAAGTTGAAATAATTGGATTTTCAAAATTCCATTTTAGGAAAAATTGATGAAACCCTCTTATCTGAAGCTACTGCAGTTTTTTGTTACTTATAAATTAAATTTATATGCGTTTTTCTAGTTCATTCCCATCGACACATTTGAGGGTCAGAGTTCTAGTGGCCACATGGTACCAGTAGTGGCTGGTGGGCAGAGCCTGGCTGTTCATTTCCACAACCGAGTGGAGTACGTGGACTCTGTCTTCCACCATCGCCTGCATGAGTGGGACAAACAGGTATGTTAGCTGGTTACATGCATTCATAAGCTTTGCTTTAAGGGGGCTCGATACTTACGAGACAATATTTTTAATTAAAGACAAAGTGAAACAACTTTTGTCACTGGCAGTAAGTATGAGACAAAAGATTATGTTCAACTGTTTACACTCTCGATTACGTAAGATGTTGCCATGGAAAGGTGGCCATCTTTAAAATGGGATATAAAACTTTTTTTCTCCACCATTTCTAAAGTTTTTAACTTTTTTTCATTTTGTAACTTGCAAGATATCGCAAATAAATAGGTGCTTGCAGCTGGCTGTTTTGAATTTTGATACTATACTTAGAAAGTATCCAAAATATTCTCAAAGTTGGGGATATGGAATTAGATCTTTAACAAATTTTTTTGGCATGAAAAAAAATTGTTTAAAAAATTCTAAAGCAAAAAGTACAAAAATAACCAGCCCACAATTTCTCTAACGACATACCAAATTCCAAGTCTCTGTGTTGGAAAATTAAAAATTAATGGAGAAAAAAAAACATGCCATATGCAAACAAAAAGTGGTGGAAAAAGTGTGTTTTGAGAAAAACAAGGTTAAACATTGAAAATGTTATTACACAACGTAGAACCCAGTAAAATTGAATTCTGTAAATGTTAATCACTCGGCATCTAGTGTCAATAAAATCTAGACTGAATGAGAGATCGGAAAATACCAAAAGTAAAGAGTACTCAAGAGTGAGTGAAAATCTGTCCATGGGGCCCCAGATTTTACCTACATTTACTAGTAGAAATTTAGTAAGGTTTATATACATTTGTCAGTTGAAAGAAGTTAATGACTCTATGAGATATTCTGCTGAGGCCTTTGTATTGGCAACTCATGTCTCACAATTGGGTCCCTCGACTTAAAAGGAAGACTTAAGGTTCTAGTTGATAACAAAAGACTTCCATTCTTATCCGAGCACGGGAAGTCCCGGATTTGTACCCAAGTCTTTCTCTGAGTCTTGCATTCTCTTTCTTCTCTGTTGACCCCTTGTGTTTTAGTGTCATCTTTTCATGGGTCTTTCGTCATTCTTTCTTGTAGTCTGAGTAGTTGCACATCACCACTGGTATATCCTACTTCTCTTCTTTCCCTCTGTTATTTCTGTTTGTCTGTTGGTTGTCCTTTATCCCTACTCTAAATAGCTTCCAGTGTGTTAATGTGCTTCTCTTTACTCAAACAAGAGCACCAAGTAGGATTGTTTCAATGTTCCTCTTTTTTCTCATTCAACAAAAACATGCCATTTTCCTGTCACCAGGTTGCCCTGATTCGTGAGGGCATGTCGGGCATTATCCCTGTGCCTCTTCTTACACTCCTCACTGCCCAAGCTTTGGAGCGACTGGTCTGTGGGACTGATGAGGTCAACATTGATGTTCTACAGAAGGTTGTCAGGTCAGTTTGTGTGAATCACCTGTCATTTCTATGTTATCAAATTATTTCCAGCTCTGTTCTTTTCTTATTAATGAACCCTGCTAAATGATGGATGGCTTTTGAATTTCAATGGTCTGTTTTTCATATTACTTATTAACAACATAGAACTGTCTCTCCATTCTGTATTCAGTTATCCTTGTCAAAGAATTGTCTATATACAGTAGTCTCCGCCTAAGATCCCGGTGCTTGGGAGCAATGAAATGCGGGATCTTAGGCGAACCGGGATCTTAACCGATGAACCCAGGGAAGAATCTATGGTGACCCATGCTAAGGCTCACAATCGGTAAAATGGTCTCCTTCCACTCTACAATGAACTGAAGTGACTGCTTGGTGGGTTTATGACGTATGGCGAGCAAAGAGTGGTTAACCTTGATGACCTATCACGGTGCATAATGGGATGTGGCGTGCCATTTTCACTTATTATACTATCATGAGTCTCAAGATCTACACTTATCCAGTTGCCCCTCCTCTTTACCTGTCAAAAATTTATAGCTTTCCATCTCTGACCGAGTCCCTCCCCCCCCCCCTCCTTCCAAACCGCTTTTGTCGTTACACACCATTACATTGTGAACCCACCAATTAAAATTCAGTCTGTCTCGAAAATTCGGGAGTAGAGACAACTGCTGCAATGGTCAAGGAAGAGTTCACGGTTCAATATGATCCTGCCTGGAGCGAACGTGTAGGCCCTACCCACCCAGAGAGTGATGCAAGTTTAGGTGGCGAGCTCAGGTGTGAGTGCGATGCGTGGGGAAAACAAACGCGTCGGTCAGTTCACACCCCGGTGTGATCCCGTCTGGGGCAAACATTGTATCGCTTCATCGAGTTTTACAACGTGTATGTGATCACATTCACGATAGTGGTTGATCGTCGGCGCGACGGACAGTTTATTGATCTCAACTTTTCACTCTAGGTTGATCGGCTGTGCCCGCCCGGGTTTTTGTTTAACAAATTATGATCTGAAATGCGGAATCTTAGCCGAATGTAGACCATCACAGCGGGATCTTAGGGGTGACTTTTGTATAGTAAAAATTCTGTTTTCCTAAAACAACGGGATCTTAAGCGAACCGGGATCATAAGCGGCGGGATCTTAGGCGGCGACTACTGTAATATGTATGTATGTATTAAGATAGATATATAGATATATGTGTCCTTGCCGGTCAATATCAGTCATATGAAGGAAATTTCAAAACTGAAGGAACATTATTTTAAAAAACTATCACCTTTCCCTACAATTTAAAACAAGAATGAAGTAAATATGACAATATTTGCTGAAAATACAGAACTTTTAATTATTGTGCGAGGTGAGGAAACACGAAAAGGAGAAAATGGCCTCCAAAGTTGAGCAACATGTTTCAATAGCAATAGGGGTCTTAGAATTGAGATAGAGACTTGAAATTTAGCAGTTATCTTGGCTATGCCTCTACAAGGTAATATACAAAAGTAGAAAACTATTCATTCACAGAGGGAAAAAAAACCCTGACCAAACAAAGTTTTCACGAGAATGGACTTCACGTCAAATGCAACAAAATATTAGCATGATACTAGGTACCAGACTCTAAATTTTCAAAGTAGCCGATGTCAGATTCATCTGTTTCATATGAAAAGGCCCATGTCTCCTGAGAATTTTGTTACCTTACTTTTCCCTCTCAGTCAATGTTTTAGAGAATGACAGCCGTTTCAATTTAACATAATAATAAAATATTGCTGAAGTCGTTAACTGGCTGCAACCCCATGTTTGACAGATAGTAAAAGAGTACCAAGTGCAAGAAACATCTCTACAATAAAAGAGTACAATCACTGTAACATAAAAATGAAGCCTAATATTTTTCAAGACTGAGATTGTTACAAATCAGTATTTTATTTGCTCAAACACGATGATCTGTCGTTATTTCAATTTTTAAAAACACTGAGCGTTGTCTCGACCGGCGTCGCACCAGCCCTCGCAACAAGTACTGTAGTATACTGAGTGCTCCCGGTAGTTTCGCAGAAGGATTCATGCAAAATAATTCCGAGCCGATGACTTTATTCTAATAAAAAAAGAACTGTTCTTTCTATTGGTACCTTTTTTAGCCGGTATTTTACACATTTCATGTTAAAAATGATCTTTGAAAACTTACCCCCCTTTTTTCAAGGTTTTCTATCTAAACGCCAAAGGCCAAAAATAATAACCACGAGAAACCACGCTTAAAGCTGCATAGTTCTCCTCCAATGATAACTCGGTATTTAATCATCAATCATTCCCCAAAGCGTTCAAATGCATGGGTGTCATTTTTAAACCGAGAGACCTCGCTTTTCCGACAGCGAGGGGCTTCCCTTTCCATGGCGATTCTCCAGCTTCAAATACCCGGATATACATACAACTTACACTATTAGAACGATGAAAATCTGAACTTTTTCAAAGTGTTCAGCATTTGGTGTTTTATAGCAAAAGAGTAAAGAAACAGAGATGTGAATTACCCCCATTTCACCGAAACCACGGGCTCGGAAGGCCACGAGTCGGCTTACGTGCCGTGTTTACATTACCTGATTATACATTTGCAAAAGCACCATAAACACACGAGAGCACACACACATACACACACGTACAACCATACCAGCACACATACGCACACGTGCTCATAGACCGCTCCGGTGGCCTCTTGGTAAGGAGTCCGCTCTGAGAGATCTAAAGGAAGGTTAATTAATCTTTTAAAAGCTCTAAAACACAATAAAAACTAATTTTTTTAATCAATCCAAGTGTAAAACTGAAAGATTAACTGACGATAGCAGCTAGCAGGGCATGCACACAGTCAGCTGTTTACGTAAACAAGCTTGAAGTGAGCTAGAAGTTACTGTTTTTACTCTGTTTTACCAATCTGAGTTGTTTACATTTCAGACCATTCATGCTCAAAAAGGGGTCAAAATCTAAAAATATTTGCGAATGAAGAACGTTGGAGGAAAGATTTTCCACTAATGGAGAATCTTTGGTTGAAGCAAAGGTGGCCAGGAGGTAATGGTACTAAAAATAATATCACAGCTGCACACTAACAAGGTCTAAATTCCTCTATCTCATCACCCAAGCTCACAACAAACCACACACACCTCCAAAATAAATCTAAATAAAATATTTATAGTCGATTATAGGTGTTTATTTTTATCTTAAATGAAGCAGAAGACGTCAAACTTTCAATATATCCAAAATAACAAAAATTTAATGGAAAGTTCATGGAAAGTCGCTTTTTTGCCTTTCGAGCCTCGTAGCTGATAATAGCATAGTGCGTCTTACGACTGATATTGAGCGGGGCAGACAGATATATATATAAGCCTATCTATCTATCTATCTATATATATAATATTGTGCTTTTTTCTAGAGGCAGCTCTCTATCTTTTATGTTTTGAAAGTGTTTAATAGTGACATGAGGAAAACAAAGTTTAAAATAGGATATGTTCTGTTCTAAAGTCAACATTTCTCTCTGAATGAATAGCAAGCCTAGACACTTTGCAAACATGTGTCTGGCTTCAATCTGGACCCAGTATTTCAGTGAAATCATTCTGGCTGAGGTTCCTCCTCATTGTGAAAATTGAGAAATTAGTATCTGTATCTGGCTGAAGTATATGCTCTTGAAAGTGTGAAGCACATTCTAGAAAATTCAAATAAACACTTAACTTCTTTTTACACTTGATTAATTTATGATCAGTTTTTCTTGCGCAGTCTTCTTTAGTTTTCAGCAAATAGTTTTTGTTTGTTTTGTTTTTTTAAACATTTCTTGCATGTTTGAATAGAATATTATGGGATACATGTAAAGATGTGTTTCCTTTTTTAGTTGCTCCCCTATTTATTCTTTGAACTTTATATTCAGACATTTCACAATTTAGTCATTGAATATTTATTTGTCAAGGCAATAATGGTTATCACCATGTGAAAGCTGTTTCTGTTACCTTCAATTGCTTTGTTTTATCTTCAGATACCGTGGCATTGATGAGAATCATGTGCTTGTCAGATGGTTTTGGTCAGTGTTAGAGTCCTTCACAAATGAGGAACGTATACAGTTTTTGAGGTTCATCTCAGGAAGGACTAGGCTGCCTAGTAACCCTGCAGATATTACCCAGCGCTTTCAGATTATGACATCAGATCGGGTGTGTATGTTGCTCTTAATCAGCAATGAGAACACTGTTACCTGTGCTTGTTGTCTTTTTTTTTCCCCGTGGGATACAGTTCCCAAGAGTATTTTCTTTATTGTCTTTTCATTTTGTCTGCACAATTCTCACTCGCACACTATTAATAAAAGTTCAGGAGACACAGTGGTCAAGTCATTAGTTGCTGGTTGGTGGGTGCTCTGGTGTGCTTTGCTTCTTCTTACCTATCAAATATCTATCATCCTTATCTTTCCTTCTCCTTTTCTTTGTATGTCACTCTGGTAACACTTCTAATTGCCAGCACTTATTGGACCTAATTGTATTGAAAGCTCCATAGAACTCTTACTAAAACAAAACAAGTCCATAGTGAGCATGGTTTACATGCACTGTTTGAGGGCTCCAATGTCTGAGGGGTCAGTGAGCTCTGGCTCACAAGTAATGTCGAGCAAAATCGATGACACAGAATTTTGGATATGGGATTACTGGAAGAGTGTCTTTGAGCAAGACGCATTTAAGTTTAGTTAAAAAAGCGGACGCTGCACAGTGGCTATCAACAACAGCATGATACTGTTTCAGTTTTGGAATCCATATTATTTTTAACGGTGATACACATTGTTTTTGCACCAGCCAGTCCCAACAGCTCTATACACAGGAACCTGAAATTACCATCAACAACCAGAGACTAGTGGTTTCAGATGAGTTTGTTTATCTGGCATCACCCTGTCATGCTCAGTTAACCCTCCCAGCCTGGCGTGACCCAAAGGGGAACAGACAGCTTGAAAAATTCTTTTACTCAGCAGTGTGGCTAGCCAATGCAGTTTTCATTCATTGTATTCGACATATGCTTTCATACATTCGAAACTTGATGACTATAGTTATGTTAACAGATATGGCATCATACACTTACTACCCTTCATTGTACGTCACGACTGAAAAATAAACCAGACATTTTATGTAGAAGAAAAAAAGGTGTGTGCTATTTAGGAGACTACTTAGAATGAAATACAAGGAAATGAAATGAGGCAATGGGGGGAAAGGCATACAGTAGTATGAATAATTAACCCTATCTGTACGTCATGTTTTACTATCGTATCCATACGATGTGGGTAACTCTGTGCCCCCACTTTCCAAAGAGGAAATTTACTCATTAATCAATTCCGTAAGCTTTGCATAGCAGTCTGTCAAAATGATTTTTTGTGAAGTACTGAAAGTTTCAAAGAGATCTTGGTACTTGAAGTATTCTAAAATATGAAGAATACAACCCTGGGGGTACAAATTGACCCCCAGAGCGTACGGATAGGCTTTAGAAAAAACAAATGCAGTTTCTTCATCAGTTGTATCGGCATAAATGCCTTGAATATTGCTGTCACTAGAAAAATAGAAGGCAAAAGAGGCAGGCGTAGATGGTCAGTAGACCAAGAAAAATTTACTTACTGAACTTGAACAATGGGTGGCGAGGAAAGCATAAGATACATGTAATGTGTTTTTTTGAGAGCACCCACATAAAGAAATGAATGGTGATCCATGATTGCCAATGTCTGTTTCAAGTCTTGCTCTTTATGAAGAGGAAGACAGTTACCTGTACAAAGAACCACCTCCCCCTCCCCTTCTTGTGTTTAAACTATATCATAATATTATAATGACACTGGTCAAGAGATGACGACTGTTATCTTTGACAAAGAGTGAATTTCATGGACAGGTCAATTTTATTTACATATAAGTAACATTGCTACAGATATTGTGTGGGCTCTGAGCACCTGTTCTGTCAGTGTATTACGGAAGCATAGGGAGATTTATTTATTGCCTTTTTACTTATTTCATTTTTTTTGCTTATACTTCAATTGTTCCCATCCTTTTTCATTTTTCGCATTTCACTTCTATCATTCTCAGGGCAGAGACAGTCTCCCGACCTCCCAGACATGTTTTTTCCAACTCCGCCTTCCGGCGTACAGCAGTCAGTCGGCCATGGCCAGCAAGCTGCGCTATGCCATCAACCACTGTCGCTCCATTGATATGGACAACTACATGCTAGTGCGTAACACTGAGGCTAGCCAGGACTCTGATGATGAAATTGTGTAGGAAGATCAAGTCCTTTCCTGAAACAGGAATGACTAAATAACTGCTTTGCAAACGTGCATTTGGTCTCAATCTGAGCCATGTGTTTCAGTGGCACCATTCAGGCAGATGTTCCTAGATTTTCAAAAAGTCTGTTTGTACCAAGGGTGGTGAAATATATTCAAGTTTGTTCCATGATAGTTCAGCACATGATTCTAAATTTGGCTTTTTGCTTTTTTGTAGAATTGATAAATATAACAAATTTAATAGATTTACGCTTTTCAAAAAAGAATTTCTGCTAGCTTGAAAGTTGTTGCATATCAGTCACTTCTGTGTCGCTTGGCAGTTCTTTTAAGTTCCTGTCCTGGTCCTTCTTTTCAATCAATATGTACATTTATATGTTTTCTGTGAAAACAGTAGTGAGAGTCTCAAATTATTTTTATCTTTTTAAGTTGATATCAGTAGCTGTATAGTTCAACGCTGCAATGGGGACGCTGGACGAACAAATAGAAGACTCATCACTGACGTGTGCTCAGTTGGTGGTGTGATTAAACGAGTGCAATGTTTTGTAACTTACTATCTCTTCTCGGTGTCAACACTCACCCAATCTGCCTGTAGATACCTTGCTGTGGTCATTGTCATTTGTAAACAGAGATGTGGCCACATCTTTATTTTATTTGTTTCTTGTTAAGTTAATTTTAAAAAGCCACTGCTGGATGTACTTCTCTTTGTTGCGTTATAAAACATGACTGTCTATTTTGTCTCCTTTTTTAAGAATGATACGAATATCTATATTTTGATCACTATCTTATCAGTTCATACATACTTGCCACTAGACTCATGCTCACTTTTGCTTAGTGTTGGCCTTTCCCTTCCCCTTCCTGTGCAGTGGGCAACTTTAGGTATTGTTTTTCTGAAAGGGGGAGGGTTTTGCTCATTTCTGCTTCCTTGGTAATTGAGATCAATGCCTCAATGCCTAGTCTTCTTGGATAAGTATATATGAAAACTTGTCCTGTTTATATGTTGCTCTTGACCAAAAACAACTTTGCTGGTTGAGAGTCAAAGAAAAGAAAAGAGTTGGTGAGTTAAGGCTACTGCCTGATAATTTCTGTCTTTAAGACTAAAGAGATTTCAGTGTGAATCATGTTTGATATGTTTGAAAAATAACATGTTTATTTGAAAGGCAAGGGACACTGTGAAAGTAAAACAATGATATGCATAAATATGTGTTAAATTTTGAATTGAAATCTCTACGGTCGACTGCCCATGGGATTTGTCTGGGTATTGAAGAAGAAATCTGGTAGTTCTGACCTGAACAGTGATTTACTCCTGCAATAGCTCTGTTATAGCGACACCAGTGATGGACATATGATATTTTAACTTCATCATTAATAAACGAAGACTGGGCCTTTCATCAGAATTAGCTTATCTTATATATTTTTGTTTTCATGTTGACCTTCAAAGTCTAGGAAAATAAACAGTATTTTATTGTTTCAGCATCGATGTCTTATCGAGTGCCAATTAGATGACTGTATTTTATGCGGTTTCACATGGTGCTCAGTAAGCAATTAGCGCTAGAAAAGATATTCTATAGTCTGTACCATGTGTGCCTGGCTGTATGTATATCTGCATGTATATATGTAGACAATATGACCCATGTTTTATTTTTGCTTCCAATGATGTGTTGAATTCAATTCAATATAACTTATTCATTGAGAACTGAGCAGTTGAATGGGAATGCCATATTCCTTGGCTGGGCAATGCCCTGGCTTATCATTGTGTTATTTTGATTTTTATTTACAACAGTATACACTTGCTTGTGATAATTTAGATGTGAAAGAATGAAGGTTGTGTGTGGAGCTGTCTGAGCCTTCGTAAATGAGTAAGACGCCAAAAAAAAGCAAGAGGGTTGTTTTGTATTTCCTTTCTCTTGAGGTGTTGTTTCTTTCCCGTCCTTATGTTGTTCCTATTTATAAACATAGACATTAATTTGGGTATGAGAATGGGTTAAACTTATCATTGATAAAAGGTGCCAAATGTCCTGCATTTTGATCCTCATGAAATGCAAGTTGACAACATTTGTTTTCTGCACTTTTTTCTTTTTTTTGGTTCTCATCTGTTGTCCTGTCCAGCAACCAAAGGCTTTACCAGGGGACTATCCACATCTGTCTTAGGCTCAGCTAAATTTTGTTTTCAACATCCTGCTTTTCTTGTCCCGTATCTGTTTTTCAATCTGATGGTAACCATGGCGTAGTGGGAGGAATGTTTTGTGTCTGCAAGGCAGGACAGAGTAAATAACATGTTTCTGCAATTAACATTTTCTTAAACAAAGCTGAAGAGTAAAATGCTCAAAACTCAATTTTGAATGAAAGATTTCTGATTTTTATAATACCATGTAGTAATCCTGAACACTTTGCCATCACAAGGCTCATATAGTAAAAACTCTTGTCATCAAAGGCAGAGGCATTTTTGGGAAAATCCAAAGAAACTGGGTGGTAAACAACACCGATATGCGAGATGAGGCGTCAAAGTGTTTAACGAACTTAATTTCTCATCATTTGTTATGCTTGTGGCTTTCATCTTTAACAGTTTCTCCAACACTGATGCTTTTCTCTCAGAGACCAACTGCATGTATTTCTTTTTTTTTTTTCCCCCCACTGCTACACCACTACATTTTTGTATGAAGCAATCACAGAACTTTCTTGAGCTGTTTAGCTCACTTCTCTCAACATTTTTTCATAATAGTTGTGCCTGTGTCTTGCACTTTTCACTCAGTACATTTGTGATCCTTTGTCTGAACTGAGTACAGTTTCCTTTGACATAGAATCTAATGAGCAACAAACTTTGGTTGCCTCATGGAGGTTCCAAGTGTGAACCAAAGTGGGGTGTGAATTAGTTTTTCTTCCCTTCCTGAAACATTTCTTTTCGATCTGAAAGGATCTACTTATTTGTAATGTCAGCAAGGTTGGGTTTTTACTGTCATTCTCAGCTGTCTCTTCTCCTCATGGTGAACATCAGGTCAAATATCTCTCTCCTTTCACCTCAACGTTCTCTCACTATTGTCATGTGCTTGCTAAGTCCACTGAGGGCCAGATGGTCTTATTGCTTTCACATGTTTGTCTTACTTTCTCTCTATGAGTTTATTGTCTGCCGGTGACCGTGAATCTGTTGTTATATTACGGGTCAGTTCGAGCTGACTTTGACTTCAACGAAAAGCGTGGAAAACTGTCACTGTTTTCTTCTTTATTTCTGCTCTTTGTACTGTCTGGGATGGAAGTCAGGGAGGATAAGGTTTGCCCTTGACCCTGCACACTCTGGTCTAAGGAAATTGCCTGTTTTATGAACTGCTTTGAAAGAGTCTTAACCGCTTATGTTTATCTAGCTTTGAATTTTGGAACCCTGTGTGTGTGTGATACTCATTGCAGTTGGAATAAAATTTGTGTCTTGTGCTTTCCTTTAGTTTTGAGTCAATTTTGTCCCTCAGTCTTTGTTTAAAAAGAATTGTGGTAAGACTAGAGAAAAGGAGGAATGTCGCGTTATTTTTTAAAAAATTTTAAGGTTGAATGTGAAGTTTGTCTATCCAAGCAGACAATAATGAAAGCTTTCTTCCAGGGTTTCAAAAGCATGTTGCGCAAAACGTGCAGTTAATATTTGCCTAGCTATATGAAGTTTCAAGTTAGTTACAACTTGAATAGAAAGTTAATTTGTTTTATCTCCATTCCTTAGGGGTTACTGGAAGTGACGTACACACCTATTTCAAACTACATGTACATGTATTTGTTGAAAGTACAGGATAAGATTAAAGAATCAGATATAGTTATACCACCAGCACCCCGAGCTTCTGCATATTGTTGTTTGTTCTTGATTAACCAGGGACTAAGGGTGTTATTTCCGTTATATTTCTTTTTCTTCTTCTTCTTCTTCTTCTTCTTCTTCTTCTTCTTCTTCTTCTTCTTCTTCTGCTTCTTCTTCTTTTTTCTTTTTCTTTTTTTAGTCTTCTCCTTTCCTTACACGTTTACTCAACAAAATGCCCAGACTTTGGAAAGACCCGAAAAAAAAGAGAGAGAGAGGCGACTGATGTGGTTTCTGGAGACGATGGTCTCCATAAAAATTACAAGATCTGGTCTCTGTCGTTGATCCCCAAAAAATTCTTGATTTTATTAAAAGGCCATAATTGGCCTTTGAAGTAGACTGTTACCGTTGTTTTGCAATTATTCGGAATGTTATTTTAAAACTAAAATTTTGACCATTAATTTTTACGCATTTTAATCAGAATATTGACCAAAATCAAGCCGTGCTGTGAACTGTTGTGAATGCATCCAACCTGTGTTTCGCGCGCTCATAGGGCCTTAATATAATAAATTATGCCGTTGCGTGCGCCGTAAAACTCTTGCTAAACTAAACTAAACAAACATCAGTGAAGTGTATGCAATTAGTTGAGTTAGAACTCTGAATCTGCCCCCCGGCCCCCACCCTTATCTAGTTTATTCCATCTTTTCCTAACGTTAGCCTCTCTCAAGATATCAAGATGTTATGTAATAGGTGTAATGTGTCCTCAATTTACGTCCGTTAAACCCTAGAGTTTAGCTTGTACTAGTAGACAACCTTGAACTCTGTTTAACCCCTTCGTTGCCTTATGACGCACCTTGTACAGTACAACAGTAAATGACCAGTACAGCCATACCAGAACAAGACCAGATTGCTGTAGGGTCTACATGTCCATGTATAATAATAATATTATTATACATGTATAGACCCTGAACTTTTTGCGCACCACAAGAGGAATATCAGCGGTGATAGGCCAACA